ACAAATAGAATAAATAATAAAATTTGAACAACTCTTCTGTTTTTAAGGTAAAATAACTCGAGGAATAGAGTAATAAAATACTAAACCTAGCATAATTAGCACATAATTTCGTACTCAATTATTGTTTGTCGTAATATTTTCTCAGAATTATTTAATTTATGAGCACTGCTGACCCCAAATAAGAGGAGCATGAAAGTGCTACTCCAGCTTGTCGCTTTGGAAGCGTCCAGCTTTCAACGTTATTAGACGATTGGCTTCTTATTCTGCAAGTCTAAATTTTCAAAGTAGTGAATTTATTACACTTAATATGTCATCGTCCTTTGATTCGGGCGCATTAATAAGGGGCAGCGTAAGGTATGAATTATGGCATTTGGAAATAGATGGCTCCGATTTAGTGATGTATAGAGCAGTATCGATATAACAACAGCGGAAAGTCATTAATATCATGTTAGAGGATTCTAATTTACTTGTAGCCCGATGTTGCTCATTACATTTTTAAAATTAAATTATCTTTGACAGCACTTTTCTGTGTAGAATTCATCTGTACGTATCTCCATCCATCCTTCGTACACTTTTTATCGAGAGAGTTAGAGAGAGACCTACCTAATTAATTTTCAACCGAATTGAAAAAAGGATATCAAATCGGTTGTATAAATGAAACTAATTTTACGGATTTATCGCGTTTATTTTTAATTTTAATTCCCGACGTTTCGAACCCTTTACAGCGTTCATGGTCACGGGACAGACTGAGGTGTTAGACGTCTGATTGTCATAGTTAACCCGGGCTACCGTCAGTTTTTGAATTATTAATTTTGTGTCCGATCTATGCAGAGGGAGCTAATTGTATCTTGTCTTGCAGTAGTGGTTCGTTTGGGCCTAGATTTAATTTTATTGATGAGAGGATCCCAAGCTGATGGTAGTACCCAACCTTCTTCTCTATTGAAATTAGGGTGTTTTTTAATTTCAATAGCCTCGCGAATCATCCTTGGGAGGAATCGGTGTTCTTTTGCAAGGATCTGTGGTCTGTCAAACCTGATGTAGTGGTTGGGCCTATTCAAAATGTGCTCACAAACTGCAGACTTGTTCAATCTATTGTGTTTTATGTCAGCTATATGTTCTTTCACGCGGGTTTTTATTGCTCTTTTCGTTTGACCTATGTAAGAGAGCCCACATTCACAGTCAAGTTTGTACACTCCTGGATCTTGCAGAGGGATATTACACTTGACAGATGGTAAAAACTGACTAATCTTCTTCAGCGGCTTGTAGAATGTATTAATTGAAGCCTGCTTTAAGATATAGCCAATCTTGTCGGTGACTCCTCTGACGTATGGTAGAACAGCAGGTACTCGCTCCACTGTGGCTGGTTTCACTCGGTCACTGTGACGTAGGCGCGGTGCTCGAAGCTTGTTGTCATGCAGAACTTGCTTGACATGTTGAAGCTCAGCGGCCAGGTGTTGTTTGTCACAGATCCCTTGTGCTCTCTGAAACAAAGATTTACCCACGGTAGCTAACTGGGATGGATGGTGGTGAGAATCACCGTTTAGGTATCTATTTCGGGAACCGTCGGGAATTAAAATTAAAAATAAACGCGATAAATCCGTAAAATTAGTTTCATTTATAATGTGTAATCGCGTAAATACAAGAAATTATTAAATCGGTTGTATTTTTTTCCCTCAGAACTCCGTCGTTTATGAACCGATTTTAAAAATTCTTTTTGCATTAGGTTCGACTCAGCTCCCATGTGATACCTTGGACTTGGAAATACGTAAGGGAACTTCTCAAAATGAAATAGGAAAATTATTGTGAGTGAAACATTTGAAGTTTTGTATTTTTCTAAAAAAAATTTTCTCGTAACCAACTGCTCTCCCTTGAGATATCGAGAAGGCACTCGTCTGTGGAGACATCACTGCGGTAGCCGCACCTGTCGCTCATAAAGCATCGCAGCGTAAACACAAACGACCAAAATAAAATGGCCCCTTTTATCTTTACTAACCACTTGCGTGCGAGACCAACGGCCGGGCTTTAATTGACGGACGAAAATTGTCCGCGGCCGCCGCCGCTTATTTATGGCGACATTACTAAATACATTCCCGATGATTTTTATCGCCACTTCACGCGAGTAAGCAACTTCAAAGGAGATCGTTTAATGGCCGCGTCGATGATATACAAACGGAGTCATGTAAACGTTGGCCGAATGGATATAGGTTGTCGCGAATTAGCTATTAGTGCAACGGAAATGTGTCAAGCGTTTGACAGATTGGACGTTGACGTCACTATTAATATGGTGACAAGGCTAACGTCAGAAGTTAAGCGAAAAGCTTACGGAAATATCGCAGTCCATCGGATGTTTTACAACAGATAGGATATGTTTCAGTGGTCACAGTAAATTGATGCTTGAATCGTAAATTTGATATTACGGGTTAAAAAAAAAAAAACGACAACTGTGACTACGCAGCGATTTACTTAAGTTTAATTGCCCTTCATAATAAATTTGTTGTGCTTATAGACGTTTATTATAATTCAGTAGCAACAAAGCCAGTTGTAATAAAAACACATTCTACATTGATATGTGGCTCATAAAATTTTATAAATGACATAAAGTTACATACACTTATAAAAAAAAATTTCCCTCCAAGTGGATATCATTTATCTGTTGATGTTTTCAACCCCGATAATTGAAAATCAGACATTTGAAATTGAAATATGTTATCTTACTTATTTCTTAGCAGTATTCCTAGCTATGACTGTCACTAATTATGGCTTAAATTCATACCTATTAACAGTTTACATCTCAATTCAATTGAGTTCAACTCAAATATCTTTATTCAACGTAGGAGCATTAAATTTACATAAAATTGAATTTTTCTCTGTCTATTATCCATTCAATCGTGATAAAGCTGAATTTAACCGTTCCAATTGATTTTGAAGGTTTCCAAGTTGGTGAATAAATATTACGGCGCAATGCATGGATGCAACGGCAGTTTTAACAAACAAGTGTCGTCACGAGAATGTAGAGGCGCATGCGAACTGGCATTATCCTGCCAATCGGCGGCTCGATTATTTCACGGGATATATCGCCTCGGCCCGCCATTAAACTCGAAATATACAGAGCGGAACATCGGTGTTCGCGTGCCGGCGCCCCGTCTCCGTGCCGCGTCGCCATCATTACCTTGTCACAGCGCCACACCGCCAGTAATGACACATCGGCACACGCGAAACCGACGGACGGACGATTAGACAATTGTTATTACGGACCGCTAAAATTCCGTAACGGGACGTAGGCAGTGGGAAAAGGCACCTGTTAGGCCTGTCGGTTGCACGTCGTTTAATTAGGTAGAGTTACATTACGAATGTAATTGGAAGTTTTAATGTTTAATTTTCACCCCTTTCCTGATATCTAAGTAGTGTAACTTAGGTTGGGGGTAATATCGTAATTTAATTATTGTTGAGACAGACCTGTACGTGATTGGTCCTACAGGATATTTAGGAAATTATTATGTTTGTGAAGCCTACGTACTAATTCTCGAAAGCCATTTTATTTACAATAAAGTTTGCTATGAAGTATTTGGTCATCACTGAAAATCAGCGTTGTAGTTTTACTTTTATTTTGATGTTTTCATTATCGTAAAATTATTTTATGTTCTGTGTTGTTCAATTATTTTTAAGTTTTTTTATGTTTTTGTTACGGTTAGACCGTGAAGAAATGTGTTTCTTTCTTTCTTCCAAATGTTTCAACAACTTGAAAAAAGCTAATTAGAGAATTTTATAAAAATTCCCTTCACTTGTAAAAGTAGGTAATTTTTGCAATAACAAGTCACAATATTTGAACAATTAGTTATTAATTTCTAAATACGAATACTTGGATATTAACAACTAATTGTTTACTTGTTTTGCACCTGTTTGTTTGTTGTGAAAAGACACATTCGTCGCAATAAACATCTCGTTGTTTTCAAACAATGTAAATGTGCAATATATTGCTTCAACTATGCCACAAATCTAAAAAGTTAAGGATACGGGGACGTTCTATTACAAACCTCTGATTTCTGATTATGTAACTGTAGTATTTTCCTAGAAGCGAACTTTTCCTTCCCTCTGTACATTGCACAAATCAACAAACAGTCAAGTACCCGACCACACCACCTCCTAACCTATTAAGTATTAAAAGATACAAAAAAATAATGATACACTCACATAAAAATATTTAATTGTAAAATTATATACAACATGCTCTTTTTTGTTTCTTATATTAGTAAGGCTAGTTATAAATTTTATTAAATTACATTATTAGCTATGCTTATTGCTATAACTTCGATCAATATGAAATGTAAACAAGTGCTTAACGAAATAAAAATAGATATTTTAAGACATTTTTACACAACGTTTTCTAGTCCCAAAACAAAGCTTGTACTATGGGTGCTAGATAACTGATAAACAAACTTAAACATGCTTTTCTTTTGCAAATTAATACATATTATACATATATAAACACCCAGAAACTAGAAAAACACTATGTTCATCATACAATATTTTTCCAGTAGTGGGGATCGAGCCCACATCCTCTCACGCAGAAGCACGTACACTACCCACTACGCCATTCGGGTCGTCAAGTCAAATAATCTTATTATTTTTATTATTACAGTATTAACTGCATCTAACACGTCATTTGGTTTACACGGAACTCACAAACGCCTAGTAGCGTAACAATAAAATTGATCGCTACGAATCAATTAATTATTCCCTAGTCCTGCTATCTGTACAATCATCGCGCTATTTATCTCCTAATTAACATAGAACGCGTACCCTCCGACAGCGTTAATTATGTTCGCGATGTTAATTAATCGCAACTTTGTTGAGCGGCAATTTTAAATAACGAGTAATTGTTGAGCGCGCCGAACATATTTATGGCCGACTGGGAATCCGTGACGCAAATGCTCGCGGGGCATGCGAAACGTGCATTGGGAACTTTGCATTAATAGATTTATATCTAGTTATCCATTAGAATGGGCCCCATGATTTACGGGCCGAGAACATGCGCGGATCTGTCGCCCGATAGCGCGATGATATGGGCGCGGCTCGCGGGTGATTCAGGAGACACCGGATTTAATGGACGAAAAGACCGATTTGCGAGTAACGCGTGAGATTATATTAAGAGGATATTTTGAATTATGAAGTCATTATAATTGTTGTCCATACTATCCATACTTCCATACTATTATTATAAATCCGAAAGTAACTCTGTCTGTCTGTCTCGCTTTCACACCAAAACTACTGAACCGATTTAAATGAAATTTGGTACACAGATAATCTGGAGCCTGAGAAAGGACATAGGCTATTTTTTAATTGGAAAAAGTGTTGTAAAGGGTTGAATATATCTTTCTTTACAAATATACATGTTTTCTAAAGAAAGATGTTTATTAAAGGTCTTCAACGCGAGCCAAGCCGCGGGCGAAAAGCTAGTCGGAAATAAATTGAGATACAATTCGTTAAGCGTTTCATGATATGATTTATGGCTCTTTAACATATAATAGGTGGTTAGAATGTTTTGTAGGTGGACGTGAGAATTCAAATCCTTTAACGTTATCTTTAAGCGATATACTGCCTTAAGGCCAAATGCCATGTATGCTCTGTTGATAGTGGCATGGAGCTCAGCACTGACTGGTATCCGGTGTAGGTCTAGGTAATTTCATTATAAATGCAATAATTGTTTACTGAGAATGAATTCATTCTATATTTGGTTCCTAGCTGTCTACTAATAATTTATAATTCGCTTGATAACAACCGCTTGCTCTCAGTTGGGTAAGTCTTCCATATAGAACTAGACAATCCCAGAAGTATCAAGCTAACCTCCGCATTGGATTGTATTCGGAGCGCTCTATTCCCGAATCGAAACGGCGCGTATCAGTTGTGTAGACACGTTCCAATCAACCTTTACTTCAGAGGCCTGCCGCAGACGTCTCTCGATACAATCGGAACTGCGACTGCATTTCCAGTTGCCCGAGCCTTTGATACGTCCATCGCTTGTCTGTCCAAACGATTGTACGGACCGACCACTCGACGCGGACCCCTCACCCTATTAACCGCAGCCTTCCTAGGCACGGAGCGAAAAGGCGCGCGGGACCCAAGAGGGGCCACGGTTGACTGGTCGCCTGTCAGTCTCCTTTGAATTCAGTCTACGCCGTCATTTCAATTGTCAAGCCGTAACTCGTAAACAGGGGGAGGTGATAAATTAATGCAAGAGTACATTAGACGCCTTTGATAATAAAACATACATTAAAACGTAATTGCCGACAAGCATGACACCCCAATTGAGCGCTCTCGATGGCGAGACATCCATTTCCCGCATCCAAGCGGTTCGTTCAACCGGGCAGGAGTAAATGCGGCAATGGAGGAGAGATAAAAAGATACGGCTGCTATGAAAGCGGGGCGAAGACTCGTGTCGGGGGCCGTCTAACAGCGAAACTCACTCTCGAGGGTAATCGCGCACGAAAGCGTCTAGTAATAAAAGCGGTCGTAAAATTGTAACGTTACGACCCGCGAGACGGTAGAGTGCACACGATGGCACACTGATACTGTTTTCGGGTTCAGCAGCCCTCACTCGGACTTCTATGGGTTGCTCAATTGATTTATGCATTTGTATACGGCATTGACAGTTTGTATGCGACGCCGGAACGGTTCCGTGGGGTGCCGCTCGATGTTATTGACTCAGGGCAACGGGGCACGTTAAGGAGACATGTGTTTATGTTATTACATTGCATCACGATGAAAGTAAACGCAAATTTACCTATTTCTCACGTGGAAACTGTAAAATTAATCATGTTGCTGTTGCATAAGTTAAGGAAAATTGGTAATTTCATACGCACATATCATGAAGTGGATCTTAATTGTCATAACGAAATGTATTCAAGGCCAATAAAAGAGCTTTTAATATTTTGATAAACTAGAATTATTAAATACCATAATATAAAACACCTATAAACACCAGTTAAATGGACGGGTGGTATTCTGTAACACCTAAAATATTCGAAAACCGAGAGAACATGTCTAACAATAAATGTTCGAGCAACAAAGAATGCTTCTTTTTAAACATTATCCTGTAAAGATAAAAGTCAGCTCACCTCCTAGAGTTCCTTTAAACAAACCCCGAACGTAATTCCTTCACTAAACGGAGCAAGCTTTCAAAGGCTTTATCTGCCTCGGTAATTGGTCGTAAGACGGCAACTTTACACGGCACGTCTGTGATTTGGTGCTAGAGAGCTTTTGTACGCCACTGTACTTTTATAAAAATCGTGTCTGCGATTGCGGTAGATGTGAAGGGGTGTTTTTGGTTTAAACTTGATACGTAGTAAAACAGTTTCTTGCGTATTTTAACGCTTATATTGTAGACAAATAGATACTTTCACGTTTTATCGACATTTTTCATTATTATACGTTACAGTTTGTGAGTTTGTCGCAATACACCAGACGGAAATTCAATGTTATTTCGCACACGGGACTAAAAAAGGTGAAAACGATGTATTTACTGGTCACGGAGAATCATCATTCTCCGTAATACTTACTTAGTCTTATAATCGATCTCATAAAAGATTCATTATGTTTGTTAGGTGTAAAACGTGATATCAAGTGAAGGAGTATAGCAGTTAATTTATTTGTTTATCTGATTAATCTATTCACATGGTTTATCTATTGACGAACGTTTATCTATTTGTTTACTTACTTACTTAAGAGCTGTTACGTAGCATACAGTTCCTTTGAATGCTTGAGTTAAAAAGTTGTTTTAATTAAAGCCCGGCCTAGGCGCGTAAAGCTTGGAATTCCTCAACACATTCCACTATACCACTTCTGAAACTTTAGAACCGAAGTTTTTTTTATCCGAGCGAAGAGGTGAAACAAAGTTTACACTTTACTCGCGGCTTGGGGCAAAGCGAAAAGCGCAAAGTGACTCTTTTGAGTTTTCACCCGGCCTTTTAACGACGCGTCCAATTTAGCAAGAGCCGTGATATTGCATCCGTTTGCCTCTGTCATCTGTGGCGGAGCAAAAGCTGAGGGCGGGCACGTGGGCCAACCAAAATGGCCAAGCCTAAATGTATTTTTAATTTATCACACCGCGGTGCACTTTTGGGCGTATTTTATGAAATACGGCCAACAGAGTGTAATGCAGGGAGCGGCAAGTTTAAAAACGCCGCTATAATGAAAATAACTTCTTTTTACGCGGTACATTGTTACTTGCACTAAAGTTTTATATTTTAAACGAATTGAACAGTTTTTTTTATAATACCATCAACTTAAATTATAGCCAACTTGGTAATGTTATTGAAGTTTCTCTGGTTACTGCTCTATTCTTTATCATAAGATGAGATGAGCCAAAAATTGGATTTAAGGAATTTTAATAATAAAACTAATAAATTTATATTTGAAACGATTTGTTCAATATTTATCCCACGATTTAAAAAAAATGTTTATACGTTAAAACGGTTCGATGTCATGACTAACGTATTTATGTTGAAGAGTTGTAGATATGATAGAGCCCTTTTTGAAGAACTTTTCGACTATTAACCACAATTCCGCGGAAACGTTCTCCAAAATACTCTCGTTTGAATCAAAAACAGCATCATTATCTCGATGTCGACCAGACACCTGAAATGTCTCTCATGCCGCGGTTTGTGATGATCGATCGCCGCCAGACAAACCGGTTCCTCCTGTAAGTCCCCTACAGTAAAAAACGCGTTTTCAAACACAGCTACGGTCAAAACGATGTATTTGTTAAACGCGCACAATAGTAATGGAACGTTAATCACATGTAAGTGGCAGCGAACGACTCACCGTTAATCTTGACCCATAAACGTGGCACAAAGGAGCATTTGCATGTGTCAACAGGATTTACGGCCTTTGAGAGCGTTCGCAATTATGATCGTGTCATTCGCTTTTTCAAAATGGCCGCGCCCGAATGACGTCAGCGCGGGCTGACCATTGGCGTGACTTTGTAAAAGCGCGCGAGTCTAAAGAATGGCAAGCCCTTTCACGTAATGCCATTGAGAGGAACGCCTTTCCAAGGTTGAAGCGACAGCGGTAATGACGTGTGAAAGATTGATCGGGCGAGCCTCGCGCTGTACGAAATTACTCTCTCATAATGTATTTTAACTAGAGAAGATTTATGGCTTTGTTATTGAGATCGCTCTAGTGGGGCTTTCGTTTAGATTTCCCTTTATAATTCACTAATGGATGTTAAATCGTTGTTTTCCTTTTTATTCGCTTCCCAGCTATAGCACTGTCCGCTCCCTTGGGACGAATGGTGCTGTTTGAATGTTAAATACAATAAATAAATAAATAAAATATATAAATACAATAAATCTGTTTCCATTTTTAAAATATTTAAAGCACCAGCGAAAGTTTCAGATGTTATAGTTAAACCATGGGCATAATAGTTTTTAACTTAGGTACCCAGTGGAACTTACCCGGTTCTACTGTATGTTTTACAAGATATACATACCTGATCGGAATGGAGATGTCCGTCGACTAGATATTAGCAGTTACATTTGTGAACCATGCAGTAGCTTTCAGATATCCATTAGCTAATCACTTAACATCAGGCGAACTGCCTGCTCGCTTGACAACTTTCAAATACACATACTAACTACCTTTAGGCACATGGAGGATGATAATTATTCAACATTATATTAACCGTCTACTGGTATCTTGTGGTCTTCTAGAAACGGCAACGCAATGTCATTTGAAGGTCACGGTCGTTCAAGGTGACCCGGCAGTGGAAAAGCGACACTACGATCGAAAGCAGCGCTGCAAACGCGACTGTAGACATTCGAAACGAACACATCTCCGCAATAAATTAAGCGTAGCAAATTGCAACCCGTTTGGCAACTGAGACGACATTGCGGACGAAAAGAATACGCTTAATTGACGGCATAAATAATACGCCCTCTCTTTATATCTGTTAGTATTCATTTCGTGTCAAGACAAAGCAGAGCCGTTGACAGGGGAAATATCACCGGTACAGTCGCGCACGCAAATTAATCGTCGCCCGTCAGCAACATTCGCACAATTATCGCCTTTGATGTGTTGAGAAAACATGATACAATTGTTTACCCGCTCGCCGCAGATAATAAACGTTGCTAGGGCAGCGTAAATAACGCGTCCGCAATTTTGTTACGCGAGCGAATACGACTACTATATATTCCGCCGGCGGGAGTCGCTGAAAAATTTGTTGACGGTCAAATTCTGCTAGATTTATGGCCCAGCGATGCTTATATATATTTATGAGCTTGGCGTTTACAAGTGGTGACCACTTGGGTACATGCACATATAGTATTTATTAACAAATATTGTTTTTATAAATTTTAAAGTTTTTTATAATACTTAAGATTGAACATTAAAACATGTAGAAAAAGTCCGAAAAGATTGTCGCCGCTGTGGGAATCGAACCCACGTCTTCGGCATTCGCGGCCTGACGCTCTAGCCACTGAGCTAAACGGCTGATAGCCACAGCGGCGAAAATCATAACGCCTTCTTTCTACATTGTTATTTAGCATTTGAAGCAATGCTTGGCGCATCCATTGTAATATCCTTTCCAGCATACAAACAATTTCGGATATCGTTTTACAACGATAATTCGAATGAGAGATGTCGCGTTTGCTTTTTATAAATTTTAAAGTTTAAAATTTATAAAAAGCAATGGCGACATAAACAAACATATTAATTTCTACAGTTTTTCATTGATTTCCCACCACCACCAATCTGCCTTTTGCAGTCCACTGGTGGACATAGGCCTCCCCATGGGCACACCACAGAGCACGATTTTCCGATTTCCTCATCCAGCTATTACCAGCGAGCGACCTTTCTCATTGGTTTCATGTGTACCTAATTAAATGTTCATATGTGTTCGTATGAAGTAATAGAAAATTATTTCATCATATATTTTAATTTTAACGAGAAATACCAGTGGGTAAGTATTACGTGCATGGCACGTAGTTGGCAAGCATACGGTTCACTAAATGTTAGGCTATTACCACCACCCATGGACATGGGGTTGTACATGGATTATCATATTTTAAAAAAGTGCCCCTCACCTCACTCACCAGACATTGCGCAGAAATGTAACATTTTCGATTCATGTGCCTTCTGAGAGGATGTGGTATTACCCAGGAGGATCCTGTCCATTCAAGCAATAGCAATGGCTGCACCGCGGTTCTACCACAATCATGGTTACTAAATAATTTCAATATCGTGCACAACTTTGCGCGATTTCTGGGCAGCGACATGTTTTCCTATCTATTAATATGCGAGTAGGTTGCATTGCGTACTATCCACTGCAAAATGCTGTCCATTGCAACGCTTGTATAATTATAATTAAGGCGCATCGGTGTCAGTTTACACAGGACTCAAAAAACAAAGCCAGGCACATTTTCGATTACTTCATGGCACTTTGCCAAGGTATTGGCAAGGTATTGGCTTCGAAGCTTATTTGTGTGTTCGGTTCCCACACGAGACAACTATTTGAGTAACCTACAGAGATCTGACGGTTCGTCCATGTGAAATTTATGTTTTTAAAACGTCCTTACAACACATGATAATATTATCGTAAGTATAGGGCGATGCATTCTAAGGGAAGACTACAACAGTTCTTCCAGGTCACAGTGGTCGTTACTGGGACTTACTACCCAACCCCTTGCTCACAAAATACAATACAATCAAAAACCCAAAGACAGTAGGTGACGTAGGCGGCGTGCGTCATCCCGGATGGACCGTCAGTAATTACGCGGACGTTCCGACACGTCATAATTACCCGCCCTGACTCAACTCGTCATGACGTCTCCTTTTTTTCTGACATTCTCGTCACTCGTCAAATTACTAGTCTAAGAGCCATTAACTGTTTGCTTTTTCACAAACAATTTGAGTTCTGCAAGTGGCATTGCTGTCGGCCCTTTAATTATTTTCTGCAGCTTTCTTCGCTTTATCCTTGCAGAAAATAATTTCATGGACTAACAGTTTTAGCTCATCTTTCTAAATTAGTCAGCGTTATTCCTGATTTAAGTTTCTTTCTAATTACCCTTACTTAGAAATCATGTGCTAGAACAATGATTCAATTTAGCAAAAGAGGACTGGATACTAAATGTTGGATTTCCGATGATCACTGGATAAATGAACGAAATTCAATTTTCGCTAAAACTCAAGAATAGAACGACGTGCGTAGATAACGAGACAAATACTATTCACACAAAGCATTTCAACAAAAAAAAAACACATGCAATTAAAAATAGGACATGCACGATCTACATACACATTCCGTAGACAACTGTTGTGCTGCGCTCGGGGGCCATCGCGCGCGTTATTTCGATCGATCATTTTAATAGATCGTTTCATTTCATTAGGGCAGGACGGAAAAACACGCCCGCGGGCCGTTTCTGCGCAAACTTCTTTCGTGGCGAATTCCCCGCGGCCGCCGCCGCCTCGGATTCCGCCCGTCGTTCGCTTTTTGCGGCCGCATTATGAAGATAATAAGCCGGCGCGACATGCACATGCCTCGGATCGCACTTGCCTCGCCCGCCGCGGGAATCCTGTCGTAACAATTACGCGCGGCCAGAGAGCTCCGTGGCCGACGCGGATCGGCGAAGAAATCGCAACACGTGTTTCGCGCGCAACGGTTTTTACCCGTATACGTTGACGCCCCAGACGCTGCGTGTAATTGCTGACAGATATTTCAGCGGCGTGCCTTTGTCCGCTCCTCGTTACGGGACCGCCACCGGCTTCGGCCCCTTGATTGATTTAAATTGTGATTCGTTTACTTATACGTATCAATAATTACACGACATACTCGTGTAACGACCGCGAGTTACCTTGTCGATATTTAATTGGCTCATTAAAGTAAGCCTGCCACTGAGTGAAACAGTAAATACAGAAGAAACTCCCGCTTCCGTTTCGAATATGTGACCTTTTGAGCAATCATCCTCAAACCACCAATTGATTTAGCTGTTTTTTTATATTAAGTTTATCAAATCATAATGTTTCTTAGGATAATTCATTTTACTTTAACTTCCCACATATTATCAGCGTGCAATACGCAGGTGGCATGTCCATATTTAGGTATGTGTATGTACAAATACAATTCTACCATTTCAAAGACAATAAGTGATATAAAAGTGAGGGCACGAAAATAATAGATCTGTTAGCTTATAACACAAATTTAATCATCGTCAAACCAATCAATAAACATTATCATTGTAGGACAGACGCATTCAATGTATCCCCTAAGACAAAACTTAAAGAAGCCAAAATTAAAAATACCATTAGATCAAATATCTAACTTGATAATAAAGATTTAGCCTTCCCCTAGCTTCCTTTAGCCTAGTCCCTTAGAACGATTGGATCTTTGCGTCGATCGCTCACTCTTTCGTCCGCGGCGAGCAAACAAGAGCTCGAAAAGAGATCAAACGCTGCGTTTCATCTCCCGACGACGCCCGAATCGCCGAAACGTATTCGACATATTGCATGATTAATGGAACGCCCGCTCGCGGCCTCTAGCCGGCGCTTTTTGCACAGCGAAAATTATACGACGAACGCAAACTATCCCCGAGCGGGGCACGGCAAAAAGCCGTCGACATATTTCTCTATAGACGTCCGATTCTAACTCGCTCGGGCCGAAGCGGTCAGAATTAGCCGACAAAAAGCGTCACAATGCCACTATATTTTACTGAGATAATTTATCGCCGGGAATCCTTGGATTTATATGCCGGGAGCCCTTTCGCCGCGGCGGCGTGGTCTCAGGATTGTGTTATTTATGCGAGTCACTCGCATATCGTCTCAAATGGCGTCTCGCTGGACACTCCGGCGAATCGATGCAGAATATCGGCGCAAAAATAGCCACCGGAGATGAGGCTTACGCAGCGACAGCTGAAGGGAAAATGCATGTGACAGAGATGCAAATATTGAGATGGATGCATGGTGTGACTAGAAAGCATATCCGGAATGAGTATATTCGGGAAAGCTTGAAAGTCTCAGCAGTCAGTGAGAAAATAAGGAGACATGGTATGGGCACGTTAGGAGAGGGGATAAAAGTCGTATGATGAGAAGAATGATGAGTAAGAATGTCGTTGGAGGGTGTAAAGTTACAGGAAGACCGAGAGAGATGGACTGTGTGAAGAATGATATGTCTGTAAAAGGGGTGAGTATTGAGATGACGGCAGATAAAGAATGTGGAAGGAAAGGACCTGTGCGATATATTTCCAATGTGCGATAAGGGCAGGAGATAGAACAAGATGAGGTCTATGATGACGTCGAATAAATTCCTTGGTTTGTGGAACTTGTAGTAGTGAACACAAGTAGTGGCTTCTGTTTCGCGGAAAAGCCGCCTCGGCTGTCAACGACCTCGCAGAAAACCAATGTGAAGTAAACTTGTTTACGTTTATGCTTCTTAACCGACGAGTAATGTATCGGAAACAATCGTTCAATCTCTTGCTTTGTTTGTCACGTTAGTCGCGTAGTATTTACCATTAGGTAAGTCATTTCTTCGGCCATTTTCCATGAGAAAATGTTGTTCTCATAATATTATTTTTCTTAAGTTATTTATTAAGTTAGCCACAGGGGGGCTATATAGGCATATTCAGCAGTGGAGAGCATTGAGTTGATGATTTTTCCGTTCTGTAGTTTAGTCGTAGTATAAGAATTGAAGACCCAGGCTTCTGTAACCACCCACTTCTGCCATTCAAGAGAATTTTTGTTTTATTTTTTACACGGACCTTTATATTAGTGTCCAGTAAATTCTCGATAATTTGCACATAATTGTTATAAAGTAAAATAATTAATTTTTCCTCTAACATACGATAAATTCGAGTATCGTATTCGATAGATTCGGAGAGCTCATTCGTTGTTATTAAGTAGGTAGTAATAGGTCATTCTAGATCCTCATTACTTCCCAAACATCATTAAACTTATTTTTTTAAAGAGAACTCATGAAAGTTGTTATTTTCCTTAGTTTTTGTGGAACGAGTTGTCGCCAGCGGTGTTTCCGGACCGTTACAACTTACCTTAAGGGTGGTAGGGCCACGCAGCAGCCTCGCGCGCCTGTTGTACGAATGGGCAGGCCCGTCCGGGTGCGTACCACGACCTCACAGAAGACCAGCGTAAGGTGGAAGTATGACAAATACTTTCACGTTTCGTCCGGTTGAGGTCAGCCCAATTTTCAAAAGGTTGTCAACGCATCTGTAACCCTCGGGTGTAGCAGATGTCCATGGGCGGCGGTATTCACTTACCATCAGGTGACCCGTCTGCTCGTTTGGCAACGTTTCGCATAAAAAAAGGGTTGTCAACGCAATTGTGACTCAACCGATGTTGCAAGTATCCTTGGGCGGCGGTGATCGTTTACCATCAGGTGACCCGCATGCTGGTTTGCCTACTTTATTGTCTACAAAAAAACCTTTATTAGCTAGTCGTAAACAAGAAATCATTTTTCTTTTCACCAAGTAAGCTCCCACTCATTTACATTTTTGTAATTTATTCAATATTTTAAAGACTGTGTTATAAATCAACGTTTATATATGATTTTTATAATATGTATTTAACATTTTATTGGGAGCCCGCGCTAATATTTTAAACGCAGAACACGGCGGAGGCCAAGCGTGGGTTTCGTATAAAATCAAATGGATGCATGCGTTTGTCAGGAACGGCCCGGCTGTAATTAGTCAATCGTGCGCACAAACGATTATTTACCGCCCACCTAAATACCGCAAGATTGTAGGGGGCAATTTATCTAAGATTTTTATATATACAAGCAAAGAGCGCGACGTTAATTGCGGTTATTTAATATATAGCGATCTGTGTGTCGGATAAAAAAGGCATATATACGATAGCGGCAATAAATATTGATAAAAAAAGATTTAAAAATGAAGTTTAAAGTGAAACTGCCGCTCACGGCAGAGGGTCTGGGTTCGATCCCTACTACTGAAAAATATTGTGTGAGGAACATATCGTGTTTCGAATGTCTGTGTATTATGTAGAATATGTATTTATTTTATAAAAGAAAAATATGTCTAAGTGTGTTTATCAGTTTTCTAGTACCCATAGTACAAGCGTTGCTTAGTTTGGGACTAGCGAACGTTGTGTAAAATTGTGTCCGAAAATATTTATATATTAACTAGCGACCCGCCCCGGCTTCGCACGGGTGCAACGTATTATACATATAAACCTTTCTTTTGAATCACTCTATCTAGTAAAAAAAAAACGCATCAGGATCTAAGCATACATAGGGACAGACAGACAGCGGGACGACTTTGTTTCATACAATGTAGTGATGTGTCCGAAAATATATAAACACGTCGACGGTTACCAACTCGCGTACAAACGGACGCGGAATGCGTAATAAATCCAGCCGTGCCGAAAGAACGCATGCCTCGCTCAGATTCGAACGCCGCGGCGAGTAATTACGGCAGTTTTAATTACCAACGTGCCGTTGGGCGTCATCGCAATTCCACGGCGGCTGAGCGATTTATGCACCGCGCTTTCGCGATAAACCAGCGGTAGGTACGCCGAGAACGCATTGGCCGTATCCGTTTAAAGAAGACGCAATTGAAATTATTATTGAACTAGCTGTGCCCGCGACTTCGTCCGCGTGGAATTTAAAAAAAATCTATAAAATAAAAGTAGCCTAAGTTACTATTACATCAGTGTCTGTCAGTGAAAGTCCCGTCAGATTAGCCGGAACAAACAGACAGACTGACAGACAAAAATTGTAAAAAATGTTATTTTGGTATATGTACCATGTATCCATATGCATGTAGTAAAAAGCGATTATTTTAATATTACAAACAGACACTCCAATTTTATTTCTATAGATATTATATCTGTACAGATTACTTTGGATTGGACTTAAGAATAAAACCCACTGCGACAAAAGAAAATAGATACATAGATTTTCGCCGTTTATGCAATCAGCCAGTTTAGCTCAGCGGTTATAGCGTCTGGGCGCAAATCCGGAAGACTTAGGTTCAATTCCTTGAGCTTACTATTCCTTGTGCTATGGGTATAGGGTGACTGATATAAATATAGAAAATTAGCCGTGAGCCGTGATTAGGCTATTTACTTATAAAACTACTTAAACATACTTTCCTTTTGTATATAAATCTAATTATAGGAGTATACTATTATAGGAGATATATACTGTATATATGTACTGTACTATTAAGACGAAGAAGTGTCGAGAATAGACACCCATATGAGCCCCGTTGATGACCCGATTGGCGTAGTGGGTAGTGAAGCTGCCTCTTGCGCCAGACGGTGTGGGTTCGATCCCAACTACTAGAAAAACATTGTGTGATGAACCTAGTATTTTTCCAATGGCTGGGTTTAACACCCAGTGTACGTATAATATGTATTTATTTACAAAAGAAAAGTTATCTCTAAGTATGTTTATCAGTTATTTAAAACCCATAGCACAAGTATTGCTTAGTTTAACTGGAGAACGTTGTGTAGAAATGTTTCGTAAATATTATATTTTTATATACTATGTTCATCACAGTATAGTTTTCCAGTAGCGCAAATCGAACAGAGCGCAAGAGACAGTTTCAATCAC